TTACAAAAATGGACTATGGTTTGACACTAATTTTACAAACCAAATGAGCATTTTCCGCTTCAGAACAGCAACTTTCGAAAATTTCGGGTACAGCCCGGGGCGCCCTGGAAAACCTGAATTAATATGATTTTATCCCGAAAAACTTGATGAATCGGGAACAAAAAACAACTGGTGGAAAGAGGAGAAAAAGCTGCGTTGAATGACACCCGAGTTGCTTGCCGGTTGTTGTTCTGTGAGGTTTGAGTTGATCAAATATGGAATTTGATGGCATTAAAAAATTGGTTCCAGAAACTCAAAGAAGAAAGCTAAGGAAAAGAAAAAAATTACTCCGTATCCTATAGGGTTTGCTCTATCTACATGTCACTTGTACTTCTTCGCAGAATAGGTACAAAAATTTAGAAAAATAGCCGAACTTGACCATGGCAAAAACATGAGTCGCAAATTTTGGTAATTTTTCGAGAGCTCATTAGATATTATGCAATGCAGTTGTAACCATTAGAAAGAGGATAAATTGCTGCATCGAATGCTTCTAAGAAGTTTCGAAAATCTTGATTCCATGAAATGTGGCGTTCATCTAAAAAAAGCGACATTACTTTCGGAACGACCTAATACAGGGTGTCCCAAAAAGATGTGCACACTGTTTGATTGTTAATAACTCTCTTGCTTTCATGTCTTTTGCCTAGCTTGAGATACCGTTCTGTAGAGCGAGGATTAACTTAGATCTACGGTATGGAAAGACTTACCAGCCGCCTTTCATTACTGTAGGGTTACGGTAGGAATTTCGCGGAGGATTTTGAGCAATGGAAAGCGGTATATTGCCTCAGAAAGGAAGCCAAACAAGCCGGAAACCCTTGAACTGGGTTAATCGTAGTCGCTGATTCTAAATGTGAAAACTGCACGTCAGTACACAGTTTCTTTCATGAATTATTTCAGATTTAGGGTAACAACTGATTTTCCAATGTTAAGTAGAAATGTGAATACGCCATCAAGAAAGCTCAAAAAACTGGTGGAAAGTTATGTAGTGAAATCAGAACGCCTACCTTGCTACTTAATTTTTTAGATTTTCTTGAAATTATTTCATCAAAAGGCTTATTCCACATTGATGCTGTATGCTGAAAGTTCATACCGTAATCCTACAGTAGCAAGAAGAGATTGGAGTTTCGCTTGATACTGTAAATCTAAGTTTATCCTCGCTCTACAGAATGGTACCTTAAGCTCGGCAAAAGACATGAAAGCAAGAGAGTTATTAACGATCAAACAGTGTGCACATCTTTTCGGGACACTCTGTATAAGTGAAAAAGATATTAATAATTTTCTTCCAAGTTTTTATGAAAACTTTTGTGTTTCAACCCACTATCATAAAGGTTGCCATGCCTCTAACATTGCTCCCTCTACTTAGGCTATCTCCATCAAAAGTTAACTAAGATTTTCATGAGACGATATTTCTTATCTTATATATAAAGGTCCGAAAAGCTGAATATCTGTTTGTCTGTATGTATGTGTGTACGTATGTTCCGAATAGAAAATTCCATTTCTAAACCGATCTGGACCAAGCTTGGCACACATACACTTCGGGGCAGGGAGCGTGTCATAGGCTACTTTTCTTCATCAATCGATATCGATTTTATAGATTTTTTGCAAAGTTTGAGCTACAGGGCTGGGAGTTGGCACAGGGGGGTAATCGAGCATGCTGATTTCGAAAACAACACAGGGAATGGGAAATGAAGCGTAGAAGTGGGCACAGGGAAAGGCTGTACAAAGATAGGCATGGGACCTTCATTACAGTGTTTTGACAGGGCCAGACGGAGCCGGGTAAGCCAGCTAGTTTTGCTATATAGACAAAGTATAATAGTATGCACTGGACATCAACAAGATTTTTTTTACACTCAAAATTAATCCTTACTGGCAGGAAATAGTTATTTTTGTTTCCAGTACTTTCGAGTTTGACTTACACCCGTTTTTGAAAAATATTTATGGAGTGCATTTATACGGAGATAGAAAAAAGTTGATTTTGTTTCTTTTTTCAATGCCAAACTTTTACATTCTTTCACTGAAGTTATCATAAGTTACTAGCTGATCATACTTTACTGGAAAGCCATTGGGTCCATAGCATTTTTGAAAAGCAGTTATTGTTTACTTACTACTGCCTAACAAATGAATATATCGCAATATTTCAGAACAGCTTAACCAAAAAAATTAAGTTGCTGGCTTTGAACATAACAAGGGAAAAACATCACGAAAAGAACATTTATTAATTACAGATCGCAAATTCACTAGCGTGATTGTGTTTTAGATACTAACATGACAAAGTATGATTCTAGCATTCTGTTCTTGGCTCACGTGAAAAATGGAAACATTAGTGACGCTCCGCTGAATAATGAGAAGACGTTGAGACGCAAGTGCTCTAAGAGATGCTAGAAAAACACTGCTTTGCTGAAATTAATAGCTTCTTTTACTTTGCGCTGATGACGTCGATTGCATCCGGCATTTTGCGAAAATGGAATTCGTACGGAGATTGGAACGAATCTGGTTGACGAAATTTCTGAAGTATTGGTGTTGGAAATTTCGTAACAAGGCTTTGTGCAACAATGGCCTCGAAACCTCACAAAGAGTTTAAAAATCATCAGAGTTCAGAAAAATGTTCTTTTACAGCTCTTCTCGTATATGACAAAAGAATAAAATTAAAATTCGTCATATGGTCACGGGGCAACGATTGCACTGGAGCACAAAACTGAGTAATAAAATATAGGGTCTTGCAAAGTACTGACTCAGAACCAGGGCCCGGCGGGGGTGGCGCTTTCACAAGCTGGATATCGTTTTTGGCCCGAAAAAGCAAGGGGGAATTTGTATTTCTTTGGGGTCCGTTGTTTACCGCTAAACAATGCACATATCATTCTTTATTCATCATTCCTTTTTGATGCTACTGTCCTATGAACTTAGATTCCAGCAATGTGAAGATTTTGTGCTCCGATCGCTAGCCTGCCCGCAGGCGGGAATTCAAATCGCAATTCTTGTAAGAGGAAAATAACAAAATAGGCTCGTTTTCAATGCAAAAGTAACGATATGGCACCAAAACAAAAAAAAATATGAAGAATTATGAGAAACTTATGTGAATTTAAAGAATGGTAAGTGTTTTTCGAAATTAGGTGGCTCCCGCGCCACCTGGGAGCCACCTGGGGTGGCTCCCTGCTTCCCTTCACATAATTTCCCGGATTTCTTTACAAAAATGTGGACTAGGTCGAGAGTATTACTATATGTTCAAATCCGCTTCCAAAACCACCAAGGCACCGCTTCGATACAGCCCCAAATAGGATTCACAGCGTTATGATCGGCCTCGGAAAGCGCGCTCCAGTCGCAATCGGTTATTGTAAATTGTAAAGTTTCGCAGCTGACTAATAAATGAGTAGTATTTTACATATATAAACGTCAAAGTTTGTGCAAATCTTGACCCTATGTTTTTTATAGATTCCTTTGCGGATGAACCCATTGAGCTGAAACCTTGAAAACATACGTTTTCGGCCTCGGTAAATGTTTTTAAGCTACCCTTCAAAGCAATTCGTGGAATTCTTCTATCGATTCAATGATTTTTGGCACCTTGCAAGGAAAGTGAACACTTACCAGCCGCTAACAAGTTGCTTGCACATTTTGGTGTGAACAATGCAGTGAAGTTTATTTCCACTTTAGAAAGAAGGTGCCGTCACTCCAATAAGCCTTTCTGGGGTAAGCTAGCGCAGGAGGGTAAGGGGGAGGGCTGCAGCGCAGTATTGATACTGCAGAAAAGGGGTGGAGAATATGACCCAAAAGGACGGGAAGGTAGAAGGACAAAGTGTGGTTTTTGGCCATCCCCTCAAACGATGACCCGGGCTGGACCAGGAAAGCCAGGAAGTACTACTATAATAAGCGCTGAGGCCGCCCATCTTATTATTTGTGTTTATCTGTTTGTCAGGGACTTACGGGGTCAAAAATAGGGTCAAAGGGGAAGTCGTAAGAAATTTTGGCTTCAAAGAGGATATCATTTTCAAAATTCTGAAATGCCACCTCCTGCCGGGCCCTGCTCAGAACAACTCACCAGAACTTCCGCAAGACAAGCAAAATTTGCAACGGTTTCGCAGGATTTTGTTTACTGTTACAATAGTGGGAGTAATATAAGTAAGTAAATATAAGTATAAGTAATATAAGTTCCGATAGCTTGTGTGAGATGACAATCAACAACTCATTGTCAACGAAAAAATCATAAGAAATAAATAGTTGGAAAAAAAGGTTTTTAGATATATTGTTACCATAGCACAAACAAAAAGTTCATTTTTCAGCCAAATGAGAAGGAGCTTCAACATTCCACCTGAGATTGTAACTTGGCATATCTTCCGGGGTAGGTTTAGCGTGCTCATTTTCAAATAACTGCCATACTTTTCACTTTATTACAAAAGGGCTTATTCTTGAACTTGTTTGTGTTTGCATGCTTAAAAGTTCACTTATGCGCGGTACTTTCTTTACCAAAAAGGCCAATAAGTTTTTTGCTCCTCTTAGTCCATACTTAAAGACAGCGTCTAGGCAGTCTCGAATTCTTTTTTTTGCCTTATCCAGGCTTCTTCATGGCGCTGATTCCAAATGTAGCACATAAAACGCGTAAAAATTCCTCAAAAAACCCCATTTTTCAAGGCAATTTTGTGAAAACCGTGGACCCCATTTTTCCTTTTACAGGAGGTGTTTGAAAGTCGGATTTGCACTATAGTTCTAGATCGAGCCAGTACTCGGTTATGACATGATCCGAATGTCCAAATCTGCCCGAATGCTGCCTTAGGACATAGATATGAGTGCTTGGCTCTCAAAAATGAAAGGCAAGATTCTTAGGGTGCTGCACCTCCCTTGGAAATTACAGCAACCTGCATATGACGCTATCAGAATCGAAGTCAAAATTTATTCCATAACAGTGAAGGCAGACAATTCTTGTTTGTAGTTAACAAAACCCGTTTAACTATAAATTACATATGCAGCAGAATTCATAGAGTAGTTTGACGTTCAGCAGGGCTTGCAAACAACTTCGGAGTAATGGTTGTAAGTGAATCTGTCATCTGGGAGACATCTTCTTCCTGTGAGTTTTGACGTTCCTAGGTTTTTGGGTTAAAGTTTTTTTTTGCATTCAGTTTGGAAAATTGGAATCATAATACCTCTGACAGTGAAGCCTTTGCCTTTGGGACACCCTCTACGCCATGTTTCTGACGGAATTTCGGGGATTCCGAGTCAAGGAGGTCCGCTAAGGGATTGACGATAGATGATGGAGAGCGCTTTGAGGTATTGCTCCATCCTGTAGGATCGCCAAAAGATTCCATACCACTGTCATCTTCAGCTATGTCTCCCAGCCTAAACATTCAAATCAGTCCATTTCGACGATTGAGAAAGCCTACCTCCTTTTTAATCTGGGTGTTTCATCGTACGGAATGCGCGGACGTCCATCCACTTTTGGCAGTGGCTTAGGAACTGAAATGGAAATTGGACTCATGCAAAATTCTTAGTACAAGGAAAAGTATTTGCCTGCATAAGCATCTTCATATTTAGGTGGTTGCAAGTCTTCATTCGCGTCCACAAATCCATCCAATAAACTTTCAGCTTCCTCCCTGCTTTGTGGCCTATACGCAGGCGAATAGCTGGGAAAAGGGTCGAACCAGGAAGACTTTTGCCTGAATGAAAAGTCTTCAGAACGCATATACACACTAAGAATTTTCACCTTTCAATAATTGAAGGAATTTGCGAGTCAAAATCTGACGAAACATAACTGGTTTTCTTCGATTTTGCTTGGCAGCACTTACAGTGATCTAAATGTTGACATCCAGTGTCCCACCTGAAATATTGAAAATAAGAATTCGGAGAGAAACTTAGAGTTTTGATTGTTTTCCTTGGAGATCAGCTGGGCTTGGTGTGCCAATCGTGTGAAGTCATGGGCGACTTCAACTCTAAAAATGCTGAAGCCCCGCGCTGGGTATTGGTTACTGAAAGTATGGCAGCGACAGGGAAGCTAAGATTGCAGTGTTGGGGTAACCGGGTCCCATAGGCTTCACACATAACATTTATTATACAATTATTATACAGGGTGTTCCAAAAGCATGTATGCACTGTTTGATGCTTTATCTCTATTTCCAAAAAGTATTTCTCCTTTCTTTGGGTACCATTTTATAGAGCTGGCTTCACTTTAGATTTACTGTATGGAGCGAATCAACGATCGCTCCTTATTACTGTGGAATTACGTAGGAACCTTCAACTTGCAGCACCATTGTGTATCGTTCGTGTTTCAAAAGTTTCCAAAAAATTGATTTGCAAAGCTTTTTGAATGGTGTAATCACGATTTCAGGAAGCATTGCCAGAACAATGTTGCGGTTTACCTAACATAACTTATGAAGGAAGCATTGCGGTAAAGTGCAAACTTCATATTCGGTTTTAGCAGCGAATTAGCATAGTTTGAAAAATTTTAGGGTTGTTTAGTTTGCTTTCTTAGGCGGAGTAGGACTCCTAATGGCTGACAACACACCTTGAAGTTTCTACCGTAATTCTACAGTAACGAAGAGCGTTCGGTGATTCGCTCCATAGTGACAATCTAAGTTGAAACCAGTTCTACAAAATGGTGCTTGCGGATAGGAAAAAACTTCTTGGGAAAAGAGATATTAACCACCTGGTTCAACACATTAATGAAAGTGTGACCCACATGATGGGTCATGCTATGACTGCCACGTGGGACAATGTGACTCAAATGGTGGGTCATGGCTTGAATTTTGCTAAAATGACTACGACATGAAAGTACATTTGTTTCACAAGCCCTTTTACTCTATTCTTACTTAGAAATTACTTTCGCGTTTCTTGGCTGCTTCTTTGAATTGCTGTAGGTATAAGATGCCGATCTGCGATTTTAGCAAAAGAAAATTTCGACTTGTTTGAAAAGGCATTGTTCCAAAAGGCAGAGGACTAAAAATGTGCAATATCGTAAACGTGTTAACTTTGTGACATACCAACGGCGGACATTACTGTCAGTTTTCTTTACAATTTTTCCACAGATTCTGTATTGATAGCACAGATACACCAGTTCAATGATTGTCAACATGCTCGCTCCAAGAAAAAGACCAAGCGCACCGCCAATGTCACCTAAACAGGTAAATGAAGTGGGTGTCTTCAGATCTGATGGTTCTAGGGAAAAATTTTGGAGAATGAACCACAATCTTGTGGAACTATGTCCTCTGAGAAGATGTGAACAATCTAGCCATCAACTACTCACAAGCAAGACTCCAGAAACCATAGGTATTATCCTGACTCCATCGTTCCAGATGCATTTGTTGCAAGAATACATTTACCATTGCGAAATTTTCGCTAAATACGCCCAATATGGAATTTCCATAGTCAGACATCCCATACATACCTTACAAACTTTGTTCCAAACTCAAAATTCTCCAAGTACTCATTCAGCTCCTTCTTGAAAAGATTTGTATACGACGACTGAAATCGCTTACAATGAATTATTGTTCTAAATGTTCTGGGTATGTATGCAGTTGCTCAAATTTCAATCTCTAAAAATTTAAAATTTAGAGGAATATCAGTTTTGCAAGGCTTCTTGCTTGATTATAACTTGCAAGGAAAGCTTGTTTACTCGAAGTGACCTTTTCAGACGAAATGTAGGCCATATTGAAGGGAATAAAATGCTGAGTCCAAATCTGCCTTCTTTATCTGCAGAACATCTTTGGATGAGGAGTTATGAGCGCTTATTGGAGCAAAAAAGTGATTGTGCAAGTGGAACGAAAATAGCCGTTATACCTTTTCTAGCTCTTCAATGGGCAGTTATAACCACTAGAGCACTTTATTCAAAAAATACTTTGAAATAAATAATATTTCACACTTGTTTGCATTATGTGAGGGCTAGTAAGTTTAGCAACTCACTTTATACAAAATGCACATTCAGTTTTTTGCTCCAAAAACACTCATAACTCCTCGTCCATAGAAGTTCTGCAGACGAGGAAGGCAGATTTGGAATCAGCGTTTTATGCCCTTCATTATGGCTTACATCCTAATCGAAAAGCCCACTTTTAAAAAAGCTTTCCTTGTTAATGAAAATGGGTTATGCGTAATATTATTCATCCGCTTTGTGTAATTCTACCTGCAGTTCACGATAGAGACGTTTGAATTCTTTCAGCATTTCATTCGCTGTTTTCTTTACATCCCCAGTTGTGCAGTTGTACATGTCCTTGATGATATCTTTGAACTTCTCCTGGTTTTCCTTGGTGACAGAGTCGAAAAAGAGGAGTGCTCCTGTCTGAAGGCTCATTCATCAACATTAGGTACCACTATTCAGATTAAAATAGGAAAGATTGCCGATTCCAATCAGGTACATAGCAGAGACTGTTTGTGCAAAGTAGATCGAAAAGCGCTTATGGGCTAGTTTTGAAATGTGAAAGGACTATTGTTGTCACTGTTCGAGCCTAGCAACATTAGGTAATTTCTCATAAAAAATGGGGATCTACTTACTTTAATGCCACTACCATTTGCCACGTAGCTCTGAAATTTTGGCCAATTTTCTTTTTCGATTTCTTGGATCACCTTGTGAAGCGAGTGCTCTATATCGTGGATGATTGGTTGATACCAGCCCTCAATAACAAAAATAACTGTAATTTCTATAAAACAAAAAAATGCAAAAGATTAAAGATTTGTTTCATAACCTCATAATTATGTCTTTTTTGTGTTTACCTCATTGAACTCATCCTCAAAGAAATGCCTCATTTGCTTGGATTGCATTTTTTCAGCCCATACACGACGCTGCAATCGGCCAGTTTCGTACTGAAAAATAAATATTAGCCAATCAAATTTTTCCTACACAGGCATGGTCTAATAGAATTGCTAGTCGCTAAAATGCACCTTCGGTGCCAACAACAATTGTCACAAAAAACCCTTGGCTTCACAAAGTCTTCTGCTCAATGGACGCTTTTTACAGGCAGATGTTGTAGACACCGCAGAGATACCATATAAACCACGTCTACTACGTCGTTGACGATATGTGCTGCAGTCATTTGGAAATTTCAGTGCATACCTGTGTCATAAGCTCCACAACACGGTCCATTCGGGCTGCTTCACCCATTATTGCAGCTTGGTAGGTGGATGGTGAGTATAATTTCATCATTTTGTCGACCTATGTTTTGCGCTACAGTAAAGAAGGGGCAAAAAGGCACCATTACCGTCTCCCCAATATCTTGCAGTTCACTCAACGCAACATCGACTCGATCACCATAAAATCTTTTCAAGTCTCCTATGCTTTTGAACCTCCTTGGATCTGCTCTATGGGCCATGGGATCAATCAACTGTAAGAGCCTTGGCTGAAGAAGAGATAGAGATACCGGTCTGACTTACGTAAAAAATCTGGCTTGCGCGTCTTTCTTCGCTATGGCTCGGACGGCTCTCCATAACAGAGGATATTGCCTCGTGCCGGACCCTGGAAAGAACTTTCCATCATTTTTCCCAGAAATGGTAAGAAGAGGGCAAAAACATACGTAAAATTGGCAAAGCACGTAGCATCCTTCGATAGTCGTTCGTATACTCCGATAAAGTCGTCGCCGTGCCATCCCCATTTCAAGTCGGAAACGCTAAACCACCATCTTGAACATGATTTTTCAATGGATTAGTCAACCTACTTTTGTATAGCAGTCCGTAGCCTTATAATGCGCCTTTTTGTCCTTAGAAAGATGTCATCCTGATGACGTGCCTGTTTTTCATATGCTCGGTGAGCATCTCGTTTGATATAGGTCACCTAGAGTATTTACGTTTTTTTGTTGAGTCACAATTTCTTGAAGGCAGTGGATCGAGAAAGTTGCAACTGCGCGCTTTCTGTTCCTTCTTGGCCTTCTCGAAGCGTTTGGACCGGAGGTGCTTGAAAAGTCAGAATAGGCTTTTTGTGGTGTTCTCTGTCCTGACTGCTGAAAAGACTGGAATGGAGATTCCCGCGGCTGAGTCGCGATCGGCTGCCTGGGCCAATCAGCTAATTGCGGCCCAAATGAGTGCTGTTACAGTCTCCTGCAGCCGGTCACTGTTTTTCGCGGGATTCTCCGCTCCAGCTTCCTTAGCAATCTCCAAGGCCGGAAAACGCCGTAAATAGCAATCTCTGAATTTCCAAGCACACTTTGGTCCTAAACATCCAGAAAACCAAGGAGGAACAGAAGACGCGCAGTTGCAATTTTCCCAAGCTGCCTTTGAGCCCTATGGGCAAGAAGAAGCGGTTGTTTGCGAGAGGGCAGGACATTCCCGTGTAAATTGGATCGTGAATTCGTAAAGTTTTCCACAGCTAATCAAGTTGCGCATGGAGATGGATTTTGCAAAGTCTGGAGAATCCGAGCTATACGAAAGCATTTATTGGTCTCTTTCTTTCAGAGTGCGGAGCAGAAAGTAGTAAGCATTTCTCAAAGCCACTTCTATGAAAACGCAACTCTGACTGTTTTTCGTTGTTGATAACTTACCTGTACTGAGTCCAGGAACGCATTTTCTTCACAAAGGAAAAATTTCTCGTCTGTACGGTTCGTAAGCGACAGATATTTCTGCAAAACATGGACTTTGAAGTTGTACAGAATCTTTTAAACGAGCTAATATCGCACATCTTCCTCGATGTCATCCTGTTCTACATCCGATTCATCCTCCTCTTCGTGCCCCTCAATCAGGGCTGGCATCAGGTTTTGTGGTAGTCTGTTCAAATCCTAGAATGTACTTGCAGTTATGCAGTGACTGCTCCTAAATTTCTTACCTGCCAAGTAACATAATCTACAGATTCACACGGTGGAAGACATTCTCTTCTCGAGCCTTCTTCCAGCGATTTTTGTACAACACCTCGAACGCAGCCGAAGTAATCATCGACATTGCACGGTCTAGTCGTGGCTGAAGGTAAGGTATAAATCCAAAATTTCAAAATTCGCCACTTCCGCGCCGGATTTACCTATTTGCTGGTTGGTGAATGCTCTCGCCATAGAACATTCGCACTCGTACTCAATTTCTCTTAGAGCTTTGCGCAACTCGCAAGTCCGAACGTTTGAAGAAGAGTTGAATCTCTTATCAGCGTCTACGTGCTCGGCTGTCTCGGTGGTGCAGTGTTGTCCGGGTAAGCGATTGTGCTAAAATTCGAAATTTCCGAGTCATGCTATTTTTTTTCACAAGTTATGGCGTGAGTGAGGAAAAATATTTTGTGCTTGTTTTCATCGGATGGAATAATTCAAAAAAGACATCAAAGTCGTAAGAGTACTTTTTTCCTAGCTGTCTTTCTGAGCTAAAAAGACACTATACGTCTAGAAAATTTTATGTGCGTATCTATGCTTAGAATTATTGGCAATTTCTTAACACTCAGTTTTGTTCTAGATATCTTGACCACCTTTTTGAGCCTTGAAAAAATCATTTACATCCAGCTCAACTTCACCTATCTCCTGTTTTCAAAGAAATGTTCCAAAATCACTTACATGTTGCATTCTGAAGCGAATATCCATAGCATAACCGGAAGGAATGTTAACACCATTGTAGCTGGTCAGGGGTACGGTTGTCTAGAAAAAAATTGAAAATAGATAATTTCAGCTAAGAAAAAGGATTCTTTGAAAGTGTCAATAGTCGAGAACAATGCTCGGCAGATGCTTCTATTTCTAGCTAGCACTAATTTTGAAAAAAAAGTGTTGGCAGAGAATCAGCTGCCAACTCGGTGGTTTTTTCTTGGCGAAGAGAAGTGGCGTGTATAAAAAAGCTAAAAGAAAGAAACCACAAAAACTGAGGAAAAAAATAAGAGGAATGTGAATTATTGGCAGTTATTTCAAGCATCTGTGAGAATTTGTCAAAAATAAATGCGGAAAAAATATTATGCAACAATCATTTCACCACAATTATATTTATATCTCAACGATTGCTATGTATCCAAACACCTACTTGATTGTAAATGAGAATCTTTAAACCAGGAAGTGCTTTTGTACGAAAATGTGTGGTGCACGCGTCGACTCTCTCATATGTTTCCACATTGAGGAGAAGTCGGATTGAATGTCCCACACCTAAAAGATCACATTAGGGTACTAGTCAATACTTTTTGGTAAACTTACCACTTCCCACAACTTCCAAAGGATTCATGGGGTCGGTATTGATAGCCCAACATAACCCTGTTAGGGTCCATACAGGCTTGAAATCGCTTAGGCGACAACTTGTTCCATTGGGCCAGGTACACCTATTAAAAAATTATTCTAAAAAACAAAAAAATTGTTCGAGAAATACGTTTTCTTTATCTTGTACTACATTTTATACTTAGCACTATTAGGAATATTCATATTTTATATTTTCAGAGATAAATTTTTAGTTGTCCGCCTAGTGGGACAATGCCTTTCACGGATAAGTCAAAAATTTTCATTTAAAATCATGCAGATCTTCAACTACAGTACACCTACAGTACTTCTAAGAACGAAGCGGGTAAGGAACGCAAAAGTATCTTTTAAGGTCAGAGCATAAGAAAACTTGGGAAACGATTGTAGTCCAAGACAGCAGTCATTTCAACACAATTTGAGCCGTGACCCACCATGTGGGTCACGTTGTGCAACGTGTTATATAACCTTTCTGATATAACCTTTCTAACCTTTGATTTTTCCGTCATTCGTGTGCGAGTTGTCTCTTTTTGATACTACACTGAGTTGATCGAATGAATAAATAAATAAATAAGTAAAAAAAAAAGATGAAATGCTTGCTGTTGTCATTCTGGTAAATTTCGTTTACCCCAGAATCATTCTAGATTTCCAGTGAGCAGCTTGTCGAAGAAAACGTATAGCGTCCATGTCCCAAGTTCGCTCTATAACCTGGAAAAAATGAAGATTTTGAAATTTTGTCGAGATGGGTTATTCCTATGTACCTCTTCGAAAACGTTTCTTGGCTTCCCTGACAAGGATTTCAATTTTCCATTGCTTGGACGTGCCCGTCGGTGGAGTATGCGAGCACCGGTAATGTAACTCAGCCTATGAAATTTCATTTAAGAAAATTTCAAAAAATATCCCTCCCCACGCTCGAAACCAACGTTTTGACAAATGAAAGAAAATTTCATTTGTGCTACCTGAACTGATTGTTGTTACACAAGGCCACAGTTGGAAATGCAATTGTAGAAGGATATTGAGCCTCAATATTTGTGGCCACAGGTCCCGAGTAGTATAACATAATTTGAGAATGAATTTGGATAAGAGCAAGAAATACGAATATGATGATGATAAAACACCATATGTATCTGGAAAATGGTCAGAAAAAAATGTCAGCTATTGTTGGCAAGTCCAAGGTGTGCTAACCTTGACAACGGGTCCGTTGCTTTGAGGTGACGAACTCCGTCCATATTAGCGTCTTGAATAATGTCAAGCAAATCATTTGTTTCACCTTTGATTTCCAACACCCCGTCACCAGTATCAACTATAATTAGAGAGTATATTACAAATAATGCGAACTACGAGTGAGGATTGACTTACCCAAGGTGTACCTTCGGCTATCCTGTGGAGATGGCGATAAAAGATCTTGCGAAATGATGGAACCGGGACGAGAACTGAAAGTTATATCGTATAAACTACAAAGGCTGCTTTACGTAAAGTTTCACGTGAAAACTTTGAAAATTTTGTCCTTGGAAGCAGAGGTCTCATTTTTGGCTTGCTGAAAATTAGCCTTCGAATTAGTGGCTAAACTATTTTTCTGACCCTGTTTAGTGGAGTTAACTCATCATATTCATTGTCTTCTGCTATTGAATTACTGCTTTATGTTTTTACGGAAAGTCCGAATAACTCTAATGAATTGCGCACCAAAAATTTTAACGTTGCAGTACCGACTGTTAAGGACGGGCTTTCTGCAATTTTGTGATGTTTCAAAAACTTCTTATCACCATTGAATTAAGAAAAAGGGAGCTTGCAAACACGCAATTGAAGACGCTTCTCTCTTTGACGTGTGAACTCTTTTCTCGTCTTTGACAAAAATTGTTTTTGGAATTCACCCAAGAATTTCAGTTTTGCCATTCACTTTCGTATACACATGAAACTCCACAAATTTCTGCCCAAAAATGCCAAAAAAACCCATGAAATCTTTATTGCACTCATTGCAGCCATAAATCAGAAAAATGGCAATTACCTTTAATGGATACCTTTACTTACCTTATAATTACATGAGGTAGCGAATTGTCGTGAGCCCGTGAGAGGGGGTTATCCGGTCCTGCGAAAGTGCCCGCAATGCGTTCTGCCATGCGAGGCATGTTGGATTCTCTAGAATTCATACTTTAGATTCAGGAGGAGGTGGGGGGGGGGGGGGAGAGTAGGGGTGGAAAATGGACCACACAATGTACAATTCGCTGGTAATTGAGGCACCAGATTTGCATGGAAGTTCTTGTATTGAAGCCGTCAAGATTTGATATTTTAGATAATTCTGATTTTGTTAAAAAATCCTTAATGATAAATAAGTAGTTAGCACTTGACAGCTCGTCGCAAATGGATTCTACGCTCAAAGCAGTTCTGAATGTAGCTTAAATACAGGCTGCTTCCACAAATGTTGACATCCAAGCTTATTTGTAGTCATGGGTCAATTCTCTTGATCAAATTTCTCATCATCGAGCGTGTAATCACGAGGTAAGACTTTTGAATTTATTCTGATTTTTTGTTGAGACGTAGTCAAATCACACTCCCCAAAGGCAGGAAGAGCGTAACGCGTTTTCGCAAGTTAGGATTAACCGGTGCAAATCTTCGTCTGATGACGTGTTTAGTGCAATTATACGACTACCAAAGTACGTGAGTATAAGATGTCCCGGAAATGCTTTGGAGTAGGCCACTCATCATCTGATACCACGGATAAGTTAAGGGACAGGTGGCTGGGTGCTGGTGTAGGATGCTTGTGTGCTATAAATCTTTACGCTGTAGTACACTTTGCGCAGGAATCTCTGAATGAGCCTGCGATAACATACGAGGAACACGTTTGCAACTACAACATAGGTATGGAGTCATCGAGTTACATATTTGAAGATATTGCTTGCATACTGAGTTAAAATTGATCTGCTCTAAAAAATATAGGCAAGTGTTACCCCTAGAGCTTGTAACGAAAGACGCTCTGAAGCAATGACATTTTTTTTAGGATTGAGTTGTGAATCAGACACATCTTTAACAGAAAAAAAGCTTTGTCAAACCTTTAACCCTTGTGAACCTGCTTGACGGTAATTGTGGAAATGAACTTTGTGACGATCTTTTATATATGTTAGTCATTTATTATACATCAAGCGTTTTGAAGGAAAGCGGAACGATAAATAAAAGATAAATATATATAAGACTATAAATATAAGATTTAGATAAAGTTATCTTGTAGAATAAAAACCGCAATCCCAGCACTACCCATGTTTCTTTGGGGTAGAGCCTCACATTTTATTTTTGAAGTTGTGCGCTTTGTCAAGAAATATCTACACTCGGAAAGATTGAGGGTATTCAACTTAAAGTTCACTGAGGGCTCTTTCAAAAATCACTGTAGTCGCTGGCACTCACGCTAATTACTAATGATTTATTACACAAGCTTTGTTACACTTGACAGCAAAAATCTTCGTAATTTTTTCAAAATTTTTTTGTTCCAAATTATGTGAGGGATTGCGCATTTTCAATATATACATAACACACATGAAAAATCCAACTTTGATTTTTTTAAATTTTCGAATCAATTTTTGGCAAATCTCCAATTTCTTCTGGACTTCATTTGTATCACCACTGATACTCTCGGAAAGTTCACGAAAAATCAAATCTAACAATAAAGAAGGGGAGGATTCTTACAGAAAAAGAAAAAATTGGAGGTTAAAGTTCGTTAGTGCCTTTACAATGAATGTAAGACAGACCATGAAGCCAAAAATAATGCCAATGGATAGCCCTTCCTTCCTTCTACACATAATCCATATAAGAGAGTTTGCTTCAGGTTTTTCATAATAAGACGATAAAAGTGTAACAAAGCTTATGTAACAACCTAATACAACTTTCGAGCATCGTAATAAAATTTTCTGTCTTTATCCTTTTAAGATTTTAGGAAGCGCTTTCGGATAGTTTTGTATTCAGAATTCTTAAACGAAGAGGAGGATTTGATTTCAGGGTTGAAGGAAGAGGATCGCGGGTCAGGCTCTCTCTTATCATAGATACACCCTCATTCTCAAAAGAGAACAGCTAATTTCACGGCTCCATAACCCCGAAATCTCAAAAAAGGGGGCATGGCGCGAGTTAAGCCTAAATTTTTTTGTAAGGCTAATTTGCTTTTTATAAATTTTCAAAAATTATTCTAATCATTTACAAGCATGAACAAGTCACTTGCACATTTTTATGACTCATATAAGTAGCTTTTAAGAATATCACGGGGGGGGGGCACTGGTACAAACCACTCAAGAACGCCCTTCATCTTTTCACTATGCTATTGAATGAAAATGCTTTTTGAGCTTCGAAGGCTACTTAACCTCAAGGGCTAAGGGCTCAGCAGAGGTAGCGCTTTCACACGCTGGATGTCGTTTTTGAGGGGAAGCAAAAGGAAAATTGTAATTCCAGGGGTGTTTCTCGGATCTGACTTTGGCAAGCACACTTTTTACCAGGGTCCGCTACAGCTGGCACCGGGTCAAGCTGGATATCGTTTTTGGGACAAAAAGCAAAGGAAATATCGTTTTTGTGGCCGAAAAGACATGAAAATAGCAACGTTTTTGTGGCCGAAAAGACATAAAAATAGCAACGTTTTTGTAGTCGACATTTCGGGTTTTGAAGGTTTTCTACATTTAGAGTTGAGGTCAAAGGGGACTTCGTACGAAATTTTCAAGATCAAAGGGAACTTCGTTCTAGAATTTCACTGATACCAGCTCGTGCCGAGCCCTTGTACTTAACTTTTCAAAAAATTCTTTTGGCAGTATTCTTTCATTTGCGGTCATATCAAAGATCTTTGTGTGTTGTCTTTTGAGCAGTTTAACTGAAACAAATTTGAAAAGCTTGAAGAACCCATTTCTGAGGTTTTTTCAAGTGTCTTTAAGTGGATATAACTCATCATTGACATTCGTAATATCCAGCAGTCTTCTTGCAAGCTAAGTCGTTATTCTTTAGTTTTATGAAGTCTGGGCCTGAAGCATATGATGTTCTGTTGTTATTCGTGCTTTGTGTAAAACTAACAATTACACTGTTTGTTCTGTTTTTTTTTTATGGTACGCCTTGAGCGTATTTAATGAAAATGAAAATGAAAATGAAATTAAAGCAAAGTGAATTCATATTGGTAAGTGAGTGCCACCATCGACATACCTCGATCTGATAGAAACGCAGAACCAGATACCAATGGAAGGTAATGATGAGATTTATTCGTAGAGTCATTTTCAACTGTGCAAATAAAAAGTGAATAAAGTTCCCAGCTGGGACATCTTCTAGTGTGAAAAATCACTCAACCTTCTAGGAAAGACTATTTTTGACATTTTCTCACGAATTGCGAAATCGAAACTCCTGCGTACTATTCTCGTAAGAATAAGCAGCAAATTCTGTAGTTTTGAGAATCGCAAGATGTCAGCAAATCTGCTTCTGTGGCACCAATGAATTTAGTCAGAACGATGAGGTAGACCTTGCGAATTTCCTCATCAGAAAGATTGGTAAAGGAAGATTTGCAAAGGGACTTACTATATTTAAATGCTTCTAAAAGACCAGTATGATCTGCGCTTTTAAACTGTATGAGCCATGTATTTCAAGCGCCTTACTTCTTTCTTTAGAAAAACCGATTAAATTAACCATGCCGTTTTTGCTCTATTCCTATACCCAATCTTGCAAGAGCATAGCAAAATTATTTTATCACGAGGCTACATATATAGAGCGACTACGAAAACTGAAGAGAGTTTGAATATGTGATATATACGGAATGAGTGTGTTTCAATTAAGCGCCAGATAACAAGTGCGAGAATCGCATGTCTTGGCGAAGATGGCAGCTGTTACAATGGTCCGAGCCCAGCAAATGTGACGCTAGGATCACAATGGAGCCGTCGGTTGAGACTAAAACGAACGCGTAGTCTGGCTTTGTCCGAAGATGAGCACAGTTGTCGTCTTGTCTGTAACATTTGCAATTGGTAGTTCCTTCCGTAAGGACAAAATTATCCACAACAGCTGCTTGAATGTTGTGAAAACTGATTGAGGTATTCAGAACTTTCGTGCACTTACACATTACACCTTTTGGTACGGAGAATATTAATCGGCACAGGGTGTGCTTTGCATCTCATCGCTACGTCGCGATGCAAATTCTAGACATTTCTCGAGAGCCTGTAGGAACAGGGCTCCGCACAGCTGGCTTATAAGCAAGCTGGATATCGTTTTTAGGACAAAAAGCAAAGTGGATATGGCTTTTGTAATTAGGTTTTTTAGTTGACGTTTCGTTTTTAGTCGATTCGTACATTTCGAACAAGGGTTGAAGGGGACTTTTATAATCTTGTGAAAATCAGGGACCTCGTTTTTTGCCTTTCCGGAAAGAAACCTCGTGCTGAGCCCTGGTAGAAGCTCGTGCTAACAAGGAAAGGATACTCGGTGACCGTGGCCATTTGGAATTCCAAATCTGTGCTTGATATCTGCGAAACGATCTTTTGAAGAAAGTTACAAACTTTTTTTGTTGAAAATTTGCGCATTTTTGGTTAGTTAAAATCACCCATTTTGTTCTAGGTTTCCGTTTGAAGCTACTGAAGAGAAACTTAAAAGGAATGCTGCTGTATTATGCCTATATAAATCATATTTAGCTAGCGCAATTTATTCAAGCAAATCGCAGATACGGAAAGCCGTATTCGAACCAGCATTAAAAGGCGCATTTTTTGATCTCAAATCATTACGGATGGCCACGGTGACCAAGTATCCTTCCCATGTAAGAAGGGGCAGTTAGCACATTAGATTCTGTCAAAGCTATGTTCCCTTATAGCGGCATACATCACCTAGAATCTTTTTTTTTATTTGGATAAGTGAGGGGCGGTATGTGGCGCCGCTATGACCAGCTTGGCCAAGCTTCGATCCGTCGCCTTGGCAGACCACTCCTTTATCTCTGGAAGATTGGTACCAGAGTTCTGGGAAGATAGCCCGATATGGTTATCTTTTGACCCCCGCAAGTTATTGTGAAAGCTCGCACGTATTCAGTTTCCTTCGACTATGGGTTGCAATGCGTTCGGCGCATGCCCTTACAGGGTTATATCGAAGACGCTGCATTCTTTATCCTTTTGTCCTTTCCTTTCACTTAGCTTGCTATTTATCTACGGTGCAGATGAAAAGAAAAACACTGCGATAATTTTATTTGAAGCCTCAGCTGATTAGAAGGGTCCCACACATACTTCCAATTTTACCGCTGGCCGTATTCATCAACGAACCCAGTGGGTTCCGGAACCCATTGGGTTTGCGAACCAAGTGGGTTCCTTGGGTTCGCGAACCCACTGGTTAAGATGGGTATTCACAAGAGCCCCGCTGGGTTCGCCAACCCATAGCGTCACCAGTGTGCCTCTCTAGTCGGTGTACTATTTTCCTCATTTTCCTATGCGCACGGATATCGCGCTAAACCAAAAGCGTCAGCATACTTGGTTTTCGAGAACTCTTATGTCTGGAAGAATGCCACCAATCGATGTCTTTTGTGCGACGCAACTTGCATTTCCATATCCTTATCCTTTATTTGAGTATTCTCTCGGGCCCAGACATGAATGTCGACTTGGATGGAGATGCAATAAAGGTATCTATGCTTTTTTGTGCAAGTGATCTTTATTGTAGCATTGTCTCTTACCTCATAAGCAGAATATTAGCCATACTTTTGAAAATTGCTCGACACAGCTGACACATAGAATGTACGTAATTTGAGACGATTGTCATGGTCAAGGCCTAGCTAAGTTTTACTTTAGGGATGCTTTTGCTATTCATAGCAAGTATATGTACGCCTTTCAAAAAGAATCCTCATCATCAGTGAAAAGTGGCATTCGCAGAGAGCGCCGAAGTCGTTCTTGCTTGAATTGTGTCACATCCATTCATATTTGTTTCCATCTTGGTCAAAATGTCATCGCTTTTGACTTAGGCTTCAAAATATGAAAAGTACGTACTGCTTGTTGAATACGAATTTCACGCCTGCTTTGATGCCTAAGAAAATCAGAATTTTTCACTTCTGACCATATTTTTGATTTGCGTCGTCGTCGTTGCTTTATACTTTTCATTTGCTTGTTCCTGAAGGTATACTTTGTTGTTTCTGTTTTGCTTCTTGTCCACCCCAAAGTTTTTGATATGTTTTGAGAGAGAAATCACTTGTTTCAATCCAACCCCCCCCCCACTTGACTGTGGCCCCACACTATCGACTATGTGTGCGGAAAAAGTTGCAAACTGAAAATTATATTAAGTCTTTAATTCTTTGTTTCTTGCTCAAAGTTGTCTTTTACCCCATAGGGAGGGATCAGCCACGTTCGTTATTTTAAAAGTTCTACTTTAAAACGGATATCAGTGACAAGATGGCATTCGCCGGGACCGCTTAAGAGTCTTTGGCTTGATTTGTGTCATGTTTTTACCTGTCTTGTCCCGAGCCTAACCGTCGATGTTTCAAAATGTCTCAGACACTCGCACCGGCCAGCGGCCGCACAAAGACTGGCTGGTGGGGACGCTGTCAATTTCACTCAGCCGCGTAGTCTACGCCCGCCGGCCGGGGTACAGCCCAGCTACGGCCGCCAGCCTGGGTATGCTGGGGAACGGCGCAACAGACCGACAACAGAGCGCGTTTTTTTCTCATACTCTAGGTCGCGCGATTACCGGCTACAGGTCTGATTCTAGTGAAAGACAGCTAATGGAGCACTCTTTCTACTGTTTTTGTCGTCATCCATCTCTATTCACTTCATCGGTTTATCGTGATATTGTGCACAGTCGTCTACACTAAATTTTATTTGATTAGTAAATCGATTACAGAAGTGTTGCATCCAACGATTATTGCAAAATATGGCAAAAATATGGCAAAATATGGGATAACTTGAAGAAAAAACTTCTAGATCATGAGATAAAATGTCATACAAGAAATACAATGTAAAGGCAAAGAAAATTATTATCACCAAGAACGCCCTGGGATACAATGAGAATGGAAAATGGAGTTTAGGATATTTCTGAATATATAAAAATAAGAACAAATTTGGCGCGGTTTTCACAAGTGCAGTCACAAAATTTTGCAGTCGTTTTTGAACTTCGCTGTCTTATTCTGTTTCTGGATATACAAAGAGGATTTTTGAGCACATTATCGAAAAGCGTTAGCCGCCTCATCTTATGTTGAAAGAACCTTCGCTGTCAAAAAAGTTGCCAAAATGGAAAACCGCGCCAAGGCCGTGCAGAAGCAAGTTCAAAAAAAGAAACAGAGGAAAGTATACATAAGACAGGAGATGAGTTACAAAGGTTATGTGGGGAAGATACAGAAAAGAAAATACATACATGCGGATGATTTCAAAAAAGCTCTATGAACAGACATACAATTTTACAAGAAGAGAAAAGTGTATCAATGACGCTGCTGACGTGGACAAACGTTTTCATTTCCCTCGCCCCTGAGAGGCATCGGATACGCGCGTTCGCTTGCCCTTTCTCTGAAAAAGGGTGATTACTTTTGAGAAAATAGCGAATATATGGAAACTTACGTTGCTGGGTATGGATCTTTCTTCCTCAAAATCGTATCGATAGTTCCTGACTCGCATCTAAAAGAAAGTGTACAGCACCAGCATGATATCGACGTAAAAGTACTCACAATGCAATTTGCAGAGCTTTGAACAATTCGGTGCGATAAAACATCTTCTCCGCCAACCGTTCGCCCGACCTCGCCCCCGCAACCGCTCAAGTCTGTGGCAAAATCTGAAATATAATACATCTGGGTGGGTCAAGAAGTGCTGATTCTTACCCATCAAAAAAGTTTGCACTGGACGAGGCAGATTTTTCAGCGCCTTATTTCTCCCTCCAATAGCGTTCTTTCGCACTGAGAATTCTTGAATTCTATAGTGGGGTCGGTGATCACCCTATTTTCGGTGTATAAGCCGCAGCCTTTTCGCTCTAAAGGTGAACACACCAAAAGAATGGCTCTTACCATGGGGCGCGTTAAGTCGAAGCGATATGCGAAAAGGGATCGCTTTGCGAGACACATGCGCAGCGGCACGCCTGGGTCTGCTCGCGTTTAGAGCGAAAAGGGTGCGGCTTATACACCTGAAAATAGGGTAAAAAAAGCGTGTGGACAGCAATATTGACCGACTACTGACTTACTTGCTGCAGCAGGAAACGATAAAGGCAAATGAATTTTTGGGTAAGAGTCTCGCCCTCGCTTCCCTGGAAATCGTAGCCAAGCACCAAATCGTTAAAACAGACCTTAACAGTGATGCCACTTTAACTGAAAAAGAAACATCAAGCATCTACCTTGGCAAATGGTGAAGGGGCGTCCAGATTCCACTCTTTGGTGCAACTCCGTAATGTGATTGGCAGCAAATTTTGTGGCTGTTCGCCCTGCCCACACACTTCTAGCAGCCTTGTCAATTTCTCAACCTTCGCCGCGAGCATATCTCCCTAAGTTAAACGCGAAAAATAGGGTTAAAATGTTGCCTTAGGAACCCGTCATATTCCGCCGCAAAAAGCCCAAAAGCGCCCGAAAGAGCTCGAAAAAGCCCGAAAAGCCCAAAAAGCCGAAAAAAAAAACCGAAAACCCCAAAAAGCAAAAGCCCAAAAGCGCCAGAAAGAGCCGGAACGCCCCTTCCGTTTTGACGCTAAAGTTTGGTGTTAATTTCGCAACCAAGTCTTTTTACTTCATTTTCAAAATAACGTCAGAAGTCTCCCATGATTTTCTTTATGCGTTCCGACTCTTTCGGGCTTTTTTTGGGCTTTTTCGGACTCTTTTGGGCTTTTTGCGGCGAAGTATGACGGGACCCATATAATACCTGAATCTGTGTAGCGGTCAATCTCATTCTAGGGCGTTTCCAGTTAAACCCGTTAGACCGGCAAAACAGTATCACGTATCACTCGGAACGTGGTTTCAGAATTAACGAATTCCTAGAAGTGCATAAGCAGCGACAAGATGATACGATGGGAAGCGCAACCTCATAGGCGGTCTTGATAAACTCGTCCCGTTGCTTTTGGCGAAAGATAAGCTCTCAGCTCTTTCTTGAGGTGAACACGCCGTTGGCGATACATGCATAAAGCGATCTCGGTTGCTGCAAATTTGGGGCACGCGGACTTTTGAACTGGGGTGCGGGGCGCTGGTGGATGCTCCTATACACAGCAAGGTCATCATTTTCACTGCTGTACAAATCGGAAGCCACACCGCTGGCACGCTCTTCCTCCCTTCCTATCGGGGCACCTGTTCCTCTGGGACGACATTTTCCAGGGGTCCCCTGGGTCCCCTGGGATCCCTGAAGCCACCTCTGCAATTCAAAATTCTTGCAATGCTGATTTGGTCAACAAATGCACACCGATTGCGTGGAGAATCGCCAAATCTCGGTGCCCTTGGGAAATTGTATGTCCGACCACTGCTGGGCGTGTAGTCGGACGAGACGTGGATTGGCCGCGCCTATTAAACATACTGACTGAAAACAGGAATAAGCTTCCACGTGCCGCTCGAAAGGTCAAATGCTGCTTCAAATATGGCTCGATTACCGCATCTTCAACATCACAATTCAAAATAGGGTGGTGAAAAATTCACAATGAAGCTTTTTAGAAAAGTACCCACAATATGATGCGATGTCAAAATCAAGAGGCGTAAGACCTATTGAGTATTTCTGCAAGAGTGACTGGTCCGACTATGAGTCTTACTGGCCTTACTCTTACTCAGACAGCGGATAGGACCCCTCCGCCGGAGAAATGGCAGGGCCGCGGGGTTTCCCCAGCGGTGGGTCTGCCACTCGTCCGCCGGAGCCCTCCCATTTCTGCTCCGGAGACTTCCCATTTTCTGCTCCGGAGACCTCTCATAATCTGCTCCGGAGACCTCCCATTTTCTGCTCCGGAGCCCTGCCATTTTCTGCTCCGCAAGTCTGCCGCGGCATACTGTAATTAGCCCTAATTAAGCTCCAAACCCCAATTTTGTCTCTAAACCCCACCATTAGCCGAATACGACCCCCCCCCCCCCCTCGGTAAGAGTTCAGCGCGACCCTCAACCCCGTTCTTTACCCCCTCCCTCTCACCCCTAGCGTTTTGGACAGAAGATAGAAGAATGAAGAAACAAGACATTTATTTCAAATTAACTACAAACAATCTCCTGCAAATTGTAAAACAAAACTTAGCGGCTACAAAACGGACAACACCGACAACAGTTGCCGGCAACCTATGGCCGTAACAACAGACGCAAGACATAACATAAGACGTAATAGTAGTATTGCTAATAAGAACTTTATGCAGGAAAGAAGACCCAAACCGGTGAACACGAGATAGCAAAAGCACATGTCGACAATTTTGATTGCAGGTTTGCCATCATTTCAAATGCAAGCTTAGAGTAGTTTTTTTTTTGCGAAAAAGATGGAACACAAACTTTTTGCATGATTTAGCATTAGATTCCACACGTGTAAGTATATATGAAAACAACTCTATTTAGAGAGAAAGTCGAACATCTCTCGAAGAAAAATAACGAGCACTTGCCTCGTCCCATCTCTATCAAAACTTCTGCTGTGAAGTAGACCAAACGCAGAGAACAGTTTGAGAGTAAAATTTCCGAGAAATTTGAGACCCTATTCTTTGAACTCAGCCATACTCATGCCAACCTAAACACCAACAAATGGATACAGGACAGAATGTGGAGATTCAACATGCCTTATTCGTTTCCGGATTAAACTTCGGTAAGCGATGTCGGGGACATGGCACAAGCTTGAAGAGTTGTGGTAAAGAGTATAGAAAATTAAATACCTGAAGTACACAAAACTCGCAGAATCCGCAATAGAATCACAGTCTATGAGAACAATAACGAGCGATGGCCGTAAAGTACAGTCAAGTAGATTTAGCGGTAAATATAGTGTGCTTGCACAGAAGGTGAAATGCGGTGAGATTTGCGCGTGAACAAGTAGCCACGTCAGTACCGCGGGTATCTTGCGCGCGCAATCGGCCGACGTCACAGTCGAAACTATTTCTTCACGCGCCAATTTCACCGCATTTCACCTTTTGTGCCGCTATTTACCGCTAAATCTACTCGACTGTACCTGTGGATTAAGGAAAAGTATCATGGTCTTGCTAAAATGACCAAGAATTGATACGACGGTTAGAGTCATCCCTGCCCAATAACAAAATCTATCACAAACAAAAACTCGTGCTGGATACTAAAACTAGGGTTTAGTGAGAAGCAGAAAGGGAAATCTGGCATCACTTACTTTATTGAATTGATAGAGAGCCAATGTACATGTTAAGAAGGGTATCAGAAAGTAGAGGGACAGCAAAGTCCCAATACTGTTCTTCTATACGCGTAACCTGAATGCGAGATTGATTTGATAATACGACCGATACCGATAGTCTATACAGTCGGTTTCATCCCGGATTAGGCGAGACATTTTACGTGGAGCAGCGCATGCGCACCGCTGGAGGCTTTGCGAGTGCAGAGCGCTGGCATTTTGCCAAGCAAAGACCAAGGAGATTGAAGAGACGCAGACTAGGGTTCTCAGCACGATAGTATATACGGTGGCTGCGAAACGGCGCGAGCTGTTGCGAGGCGGACTCCCGCCAATCCAATTTCCGCCTAAAGCGGGCCGAAACTTACTGTACGCTTACCATGAATCTTGGAGGACAAGTAGCAGATTAGGTAATGAATGACGCCGACTCTGAGCGCACATACACACTTGAACAGGACACGTACTTAAATCTACACATGGCTGCGCAAAGCGCACCCCATGACCCGGCGCCAAATTAGCCAGCGCGCATGGTTTACAATGCCGGAGCACGCTAGGTACTTTGAACTCTAAGATTTTATGCATAGAGTGAAGGCAATGTAACCGAGGATTCTTCGCATACGGTGGAATCAATGTAATCAGTGATTCTTTGCATATCTACATAGTTGATAAGCAAAGAATCATTGTACATTGCTTGATCATGGTGGATATGTGACCACTGTGGCCTGCGCAAGGTTGCATTTATAACGTGGGGTATTTGTACATACACTTTCCCGACGGTTCTGAGTACTATGCTTATGAGATGACGGATGCTTGTTTGTTCCATCTCATTTGGTGCAAAGTAACATTTCGGATTTATTGACCCATTCAATAGAGCGTGAGACAGTCACACTGGTATGTTATAGTATGTTCTCTGATTATAAAACGTGGGCATTGAAATCATGAACTTTCTTGTAAGCCACACAGGTAAACATGATAATAAACCTATGTGGCGTACAAGAAGGTCCATGATTTCAAGTCACACTGATGTTTTTGTTGGCATGCGTTCGCTTTTCATCGCACAGACATTAATTGTCAACTTAAGAAAAACAGGAGCAGGGCTTTCTTGATCAAGAACCATCTCGTTCATGCCTTCAAATGGATTGCTTGTTGAAATGTTAAGTTAAATATGGGCTAATTTGCCCCCTCTATCTGAAGAAAACGTAAATGCGGTTCCACACAATCAGTTTCGAGAATTGTTGTTTAACAATGATGGATGCCTTGCAAAGACCATGGGCGAAATCAGTTTGGAGTTACTGTCCACTAATGCTTCAGGTTCTTCACGTTTTGTTTAGAACACAACAGAGCATGCAATTTAACAAACTAAGTTGTCACTACTTACAAACAGTTGATGGAATCCCCTAAGTCAAGTGCAAGACCAACGAAAAGTGCTTGACCGCCTCTATTCCCATGTTCCGGAAAAGCCCATACATGAGGAAGTGAGTGAATGACACGAGGATTTCTCAGTAAATCCTTTGTTTTTCGATCCATCGATCCGCGCACTGTTCTAAACTCAACGCGTCTATGCATGCCTTATGATGCTTAGCAAGGCTTTTTCGCTCCAGTCACCAATCATCATATGACTGTGTCCGATGGCTTCAGGCCCATCCGTTCCTGCTCTTTGGAGGGTGCACATAGATGTGAAACAGCAATGCATTCATGAAAAACAGGCAAGCATCGAGAAATTCTGTTACGAAACAGACTTGATTCCTAGGTTTCAGTGAAAATTAAGAGCTCCTCTACAATGCCTTTTTCAAACATTAGTCAAATGAAAAGTTTTATCAGGATGGACTGAGGCATCAATACTTCTTTGGTTTCTAACGAAAAGAACTGGATAGAAGTTCTAAGATAGCTTTCAACAAATCAATCAACAAAGAAGTTCTGAGCTGGTTTCGTTAGAAGCCAACTTAGAACTCCTATCCACTAGTCTTCAATTGGACTTGCATCAAACGCTGGATAGGAGTTATGAGAAAGTACATATCGTATGACTGGCACTATACGACACGTTTATGGGCAAAGACTCGGTCGTAAGGACAGAAATCAACAATACATACAATACAGCTTTAGTCGCCTATGTCAGAGAACTTTCATGAATACTCTCTCCAGCTTCTTAATGATGAAACTGTGGTAAATGCAGAAGGTGGACCTTTTTCAAATACGTAA